AGGTTTGCATGGCTGCAAACATACGGGCTACATTGAATAAGTTTTGACTAAAACGAAAAAAATTCACTTCTAAAGCAACTGTTTAAGCGTTGAAAAAAAAAACCCTCAAGACTTTATACCACGTGCACTTTTCCAGACTTTATCCCAACGTTCCAGACTTTTTGCTGGTCTGGAAAGTTGGTGAATTTAAGACTCTGCACGAAACCTGTAAGTTACAGAAATAAAATCGAATTAATGGCCACTGTTTACTAGCTTACTCGTTACCGTTTTATTTCAGGCGACTGGCACAAGTTGTGCTAGAATGAATCACCTCCCATGTAAGGTGATGAAAATTTTGATAACATTAAAAGTACATTAAAAGATCGATCAAACCCGACTTTAAAGGCAGAGTAGCTAGTAAAACACCTGCATTTCGATCCTCTTTAATGGACATCCTCTAATGTGCAAAGTTCGGTGGGCGGTTTAAGATTAAGCCAAGGTCAGTAGGAAAGTCCGACGAACAGTGACGACATTGAGCAAAAAATATACACCAAATGGGGATGCAAATTTTAACGCCATCCAGAAAAGACACAGCTCTTATATGTTACAATGAATTACCTTACAAGCGACGAAAGAGCTCACCAACCTTGTTCCCAGGATGCTCCCCTACTCGTCCCTACTCGTAGGGAAGAGTAGGAAAGAACCCTGGAAACGAGGTTGGGCGTTCAATCCTCAATTATAGAAAACTCACACATCTTACTAAAATTTGTAGAATTTCTTTTGACTCGTTAATAACACGAATAACCGTGTCTTTTCCCTTATCCAAATTATATGTTCCCCGGCATTCCTCCCCAAAAAAATTCCCCGACACATTCCGGGAAATAGATAAAACAGTCCTTCACTACTGCTAAAAATTAATGAGAAGATGACATTGGTGAAGCGAATCGGTCATGTCGGCGGGCGCTCCGCGCATGCCGCTTTAAAACTCACAACGTACCAATGTCTTATACAGTAAACTAAAATGAGACAAGTTAAAAATCTACAGAAGGAAAACCTAAAGGGAGAGATTTCAGCTGTAAATAGTGAACTCCAGAAGCTGAAATCGGTCATCGAGCAACGACTCCAAGCGGACATCGAGCAGGTTGGAGACGCTGCAACAAGATATGGAAAAAGTATTCAAAAGAGCGTTGATTTCTTATGTGAGGACCACCATATAACGAAAAACTTTCGAGAGAATATCTCGAAAAGACCTTGACGATGTAAGCCGTAAGCTTGAAGCGATTTCTACAAGACACCGCCATGGATGACTTTCTGAAGTACAGCTTTCAGTATAACGTTAAAATTTTTGGCCTTCCTGAACAGGATGAGCATGAGTCTGTTGAAACCACCAGGCAGTTGTGTTTAAAACTTTTCCATTCTATCGGAGCCGAGGGAGTGATGAAAAACGACATTGATATTGCTCATAGACTGAATAGCCGAAGGTCTGACAACCATTATCCAAGACCTATTGTGTGCAAGTTTATCAGACGACTGGCCAAAGAAGAAGTCATGGCTCATCGCAATGAAACTTCGAACTTAAACCCTGATGATCTCCATTTATCTGCTGATTTTCACACGGAAAATATCCGAATTCATGAACACCTGATCCCGAGATTACAGCAACTTCTTAGCCAGGCAAATAAACTGAAATCTAAGAAGCTTAAGAAAAGATATTAAACATTTTCAATGTCACGTACTCAGTGAGGTAAAACATAATTTCACTGTATTAGGTGTAACAGAAACGCGATTATGCGAAGGCGAATATATTGATTTTATCCCACAGCTACCTGGCTATTGCTTTGAATTTGTTAAAACCCTGTTGTCTGCCGGTGGTGTTGGTCTTTTTATTAGTGAAAACTATAAATATCGAGTCTTAGAACGCCCTGGGGCTTTATTCTACCCTTGTTAAACTGTTAAAACTTGCTAAATCAGTCATATCCATACCATTAACCGAAATTTTTAACCAGTCTGTACTAACTGACGAGACGTTACCTGAAAACTATCGGCCAATTTCTTTGTTATCAATTTATAATCGTTTATTTGAGAAACTTTTGTATCGTAGACTGATAAGTTTATAGACAAGAATGATATTATTTACGATTTCCAATATGGCTTTCACAATAAACATATTACCCAGAACGCTATTCTTGATATTGTGAACACCATACATTCTAATATGGACAATAGAAAGTACTCATGTGGAATTTTTATAGATCTTAAGAAAGCATTTGATAGTGTTAACCATGAGATTCTTTTGACAAAACTTGAACACTATGGAATAAGAGGAGTTATAAATTCTTGGTTTAGATCATATCTTTCAGATCGCCGACAGTCGATTGAAATAGGCAAATGCATATCTGAGACTGAAACGATCGTATATGGAGTGTCTCAAGGAGCTATACTTGGATCCTTGCTATTTTTGTTATATATTAATGACATCCATGAATCTTCCAAGGAATTTACTTTTTATCTATTCGTAGATGATACACGTCTAACCTATGCTAATGACGACTTACGTAGTTTTGAACTGTCAACAATGAGCTTGAGAAAGTAAGTGAATGCATGGCTTAATGCTAACAAACTAACGCTCAACGTCAAAAAGTCTAATCATGTCATTTTTCGTCCGTGCCAAAAAAGAATACCTTTCATTCCTCAAATTAAATTAAGATTTTTAATCCAACTTCAAATACTCGAGTAATTCTAGAGATGAAGGACTTTGTTAAATATTTAGGTATAATGATTGATTCTGAACTATCATGGACGCATCATAATGACTTTATCTGTCACAAAATTAGAAGATCGGTTGGAATAATTGCTAAAATGAGGCATTACATTCCACGGCTTCTTCTTTTGAATTTATATCATGCACCTATTGCTCCTTATTTAAATTATGGTACCTGTGCATGGGGCAACTGTCCACAGACCTACCCCAATAAGATACTTGTTCTGCAAAAACGTGCACCGCGTTTGATTTATTTTTCTAAACCCAGAGACCATGCAATCCCTTTTTTATTGAATCACACTGCCTTCCTTTGCCGTCTTTGTTCTTTCAACAGTTAAGCTATTTAATGTATGACATTCATGCTAAGACAGCTCCTAAACGTCTTCTCCATAAGTTTGCGAAAATCAGTACAAAACATCACTATAATACGCGATTATCTGCAAAAGAATGTTTCTCTGTTAAATTCTCGAGAACTGAAAAAATGAAAAAATCTTTTACTAGAATTGCTGTGTCTATTTGGAATTCTATTCCACTTTCTGTTAAGAGCAACTCCA